GAGCGTCGTTTGTTAACGATGTTTCCCCTTGAAGTCGGAAAAGAATTCTGATTTCTTTCTCCCTGTTTCCTTCGTGGAACACGGGAAATAGACACGGAGGTCACGAACGGCGAAAGGGTCGCGGCTGTGAGTATCCTTTGATCGTAAATCGAAGCGTGGCAATATCGCGTATGCTTTTTTTCTGTTTCTAGTCCAAGTGGATGAAAGATGGAAATTGGAGTTGTTTCGTGGTAGTCTTTTACTATCGGACGCAATTGCTTTCGGATGTTCCCCTGCGAGGTTAGGATACGAAACCAGTGGTCAGCTGACGCGAAATTGAACGGAGCGAAGGAAAAGGTGGATCAAAATGAGAAATTTCGGATATTAACGAAAAATTTTTGGCATCTTGTATCGAATTGGTATATCGCATGGGTAAAATTTCGTACTGACGTATGTACTATTGTCTAGCTAAGTCGATACTGTCAGTATTACGTCATGGGTTACTAGGTGATCAACGATGGCTACTACCACAACGAAGACGATTGTGTTAGTAACGTTTGTACTGACGAAGTTCACCGTACAAGTGCGAAAATTTATAATGACGTGTAATTTGCAAATTATACATATCTGTATCCTTATATTTTCCAATTTATCGCTATATTATACTCTATTATCACACGACTGTACTAATCTAAAACACTTTATTTATAGCAATTATTCGTCTCCATTTTCCGAATCACGATAATTGTCTAATTAGAATTTCTTCTGTCGGAACAAATAATTATAACTCGATGCAGTTTTTGATATCTCGAATATGGAGCAAGTTTAATTAATTCGTTTTATTTATAGGGCATGCAATTTTAATATAAAAAGCGAGGCAGACCGAAATTTCCTTTGTGGAGGATTAATAAGTAATCCCTGAAGCTGAAATTCTATATTTTGGATTAGTCTACTTCCATCCCTCGCTTGAAAATTCCCGTCAACCTGCCACTGGTGTTTTTAGAAAGCAGAGTCCCGCTTTTCCGTCACGATGCAGTTATTCGCGGAATATTCGCGAATTTCTGTCGAATGTCGAATACGATGAACGATGATGGAAAGAGGATCCCGCGTTTGTTTCCCAGCCGTGGAGCATTTATTTCAGTTGCCCATTGCCGTATCGTTATCGACTTGCCAATCACCGAAAGCAGACGCCGGCCAGTTTATTCAATAATAAATTATCGACACGCCGATTACTCACGAACACGTACCGCCCATGGAATTGGATTGCGCTCCAATCTCTGCATTATATCGTAACGTTTTCGCGTTTGTCGCGAGCGCAAGGTAAAAAACAGGATTTTCGAGGATCGATGGATCCGGGGAATCGAGGAAGACTCGATCGAGAGTTCGACTCCGTCGGAGTGACAAAAGATACTCGACAATGGCGACGAATCTACCCTTCCGGTTCCTGATAAGTCGTGATTTAATTCGCGAATATCAGAGGGAGAAAGTCGAAGCTGTCCTCCAGTTCCAGTCCATTCTCATCTCTTTTCGAGAGGGTACTCGTGATTCGCGACGGCTCCGGGAACTTCCTGCTGGTTCATCCATCGAACCTCATTCTTCGGCGTTCTTTTAATCCCCCGTCTTACAGGAACAAGTCGTAAATCTTATGAGAGCCACCCTGCGCTCGACGAACCTGCGAATTCTGTAGCCCGTGGGTTTCTTCCTTTCTTTCGCGTCGAGCCAGATAAATTCATCGATAAATTATTCGATACAGCCTCGTCTCCGGTCTTTTTATCCGCGAAATATATGTATCCTCGTGTCATTATTAAATTTTATTTTCCGCTTCTCCGAATTATGCGTCGAGGTAGGGAGAGTACTGCGTATACGAAGTTACATAGCAAATGTAATATAGTGTTAATTGTAGTATCATTTAATAGCAGTTTTGAAATTCGAAGAATTTCTTCTTTCTAGCGAGAAGTAGTAACTCGAATTTCCTTTTCTTAATTTTTTCTTTATCCGAGAAATATATGTATCCTCGTGTCACTATTAAATTTTATTTTCACTTTTCAGAATTATGTGTCGAGGTAGGGAGAATACTGCGTATACGAAGTTACATTGCAAATGTAATATAGTGTTAGTTTTAGTATCATTTAATAGCATTTTTGGCACTCGAAGAATTTCTTCTTTGTAGCGAGAAGTATTTCCTTCTCTTAATTTTTTCTTTATCCGCGAAATATATGTATCCTCGTGTCACTATTAAATTTTCTTGTCGCTTTTCCGAATTATGCGTCAAGGTAGGGA